AAGGGACTAATATGAGGTAAGTCCGTAACGCTAAAGATGGCGGCTGTATTCACATGTCCCACCCCTCCCGAATCGTGGTCCTCCAGTTTCAGATGTTGTGGTAGCAGCGTGGAGCAGCTGTGTGACCAGATCAGATGCCCTGCATGGCACCAGCTGTGGTATGCAGTATGTGTTAGAAAAACGGATATGATATATGCTGTGCATGTGTAGTGGAAGTATACCTTGCAGGGAAAACCCTGTCTAAACCTTAATTTGGGGCAAAGTCAACAAACTCTTTCAGGATTTCCTGCTGATTCATGCAAGTTTTATGGTGAAGGTGCAGTTCTGGCATGTTCTTATATATAGTTCTATATATATATATATACTTTTTAATCAACAAATCATTACATTATGAGTGAGATTGGGAGTCTGTGTCTGTAGCTCAGTTTGTGTGACATTATACTTTAATGCTTTTCTTTATGGTGCCAGAAGATGTGAGTTCGAATCCCACCTTCAGTAACAGCTTGAAAGTCTCACACAGCGGTGGCATTTCAGGTCAGTTCGGCCTAAGCATTTCCTGTTTTATAGGAGTAGGGTGGTCATGGATGACATCAACGTTTTCTAGTCAGGGGGAGCGGAGTGAACTGGTAACTAAGTTCCAAATTTTAAGACACATCTAGGTAGTAATGTTACGGAGTAGATCAACCTGCCTCAGAATGGGATGGCCTGAAGCAGTTTGGGTGGGAATTGAACACACTATATAAATGGTGGGATTTGTGCTCCCAAGAGGAAAAGAGGTGAGGCTGTGCTGCTGTGAACACGTGCCTTTTGTTAGCGTTGCTGTAAGTTTAATGAGTTATTTTCTGTTTGTTTGTTGAGTTATCCATGTACTGCAGACCACTGTAAATAAAACCATTACCTCTGGAAACACACAATGTTTGAGTCTGCCTACCTACCACTTCCTAGCCACCTTGGTCAGCTTTATGCCAAGTAGGTTTACACATACAAGGAAGTCATGTGGTGCTAAAGAATGAACACAAAATATTTAATTGACAACATTTAAATAATTAGAACGGGTATTTTCTAAAGAGTTGCCAGCTGCGGCTGCTGCTCCATCAGCAATTTTTCTAATCCTGTAGCGCCGCCTGCATGTACAAAATGTGTATTTGCTGCATTTGCTTAACATGCCCTGAATAGGATTTGAACTGCGTGGTGTCTTTCTCTTCAGTTCAGCACTGACAAAACTAACCACCAAGTTCCACCGAGATTTCAACTCATCTGGATCCAGAGTCCAGAGTGCTAACCATCACACCAAACTGACCACATGCTGACCTGTCACTTCTCTGAAATGTGAAATCACACAAAAACCGGCAAAAAGACGCGGTTTGGTTGTTTGGCGCCACAGACAGACATCAATACAACATGTGACACAATCAATAATAACCACAGAGTCAGATACAGAGGTGAAGTGTTTATTCTTTACTGTAAAATAAACTATAAAAATATTCCAGATGGATGTTGGATGAAAAAACATGTTTTCACTGGTTGTACCGAACTGGTTTTATTTCTGGGGGAAATCCATAATTTTATAAAAGAGATGAGCTGAACTTTGGACACTTTTACCAAAAGTATTTGAAAATGGAATTCCAAAAAAAGGAAACTGTGTAACATCAGTCTGTGCACATAAAACATTGTAGTGTCTGTGAAGATTCTCAGTGATCCAGCTCATAGTTCTCCAAGGAGGGCAGCTGGACTGGTTGAAGACATTTCACCTCTCAGATGGTCACCCTTGATTTAACCCTCTTGAATAAACTGAATTGTTGATTTTAATTCTTCATAATTATTATTGTCTGTGATACTATCCCTGTGATTATCAGTTTGTTTATTGTTGTTAGGTTATTTATTCAACATTTTATTCATTTATTATCATTTTCAGAATAATAACTAAAGCACAGAACTCTTTTATTTCTGATGGTGTCTGCAGCTGACAGCCTCCCACCACCAGGTGGTAGTGTAACACAAACTGTTTAATAAGAACTGATTTGAAACAGTGATTCCAAAGAAATAATGTCAAATAATAATAATAATGCAAAACATAAATGCAAAATAAATTTCCTTTACCACATTGTAATCATTAAGTATAAAATAAAAGTAAATAAAAACAAGGGGTTATTTCAGTTTGTTATCATTAATCACCTGGAAGTCTTTCATGAAGTATTTATGAGCTGTTAATGATATCTCAAGCTCTATATGAAAAGTGACATGAGATAACTTCTGTTATGAAACCCTAACCCTAACCCTATTGAAATGAATCAAAGTCATCTTCTGTCTCCTGCAGAAACTAATTATTTTACTAAATCTTTGTAAGCCGAATGTTAAATTTAAATAATGTACTTTTTTTATTATTGAAACATTCTGAAATGAAGAAATATGAAGACCCAAAAGGCTCAAATATAAATAATAATCACGTGAATAAACATAATATATATAAAAATATGAAATACTCCAGTAAATGTTAATCATTTAGTTGTTTGATGAGAGTGATCACATCACATTTATAATGACACATAGCTGACTGAACAACACACAAACTGCTGTTATGAAATAAAAAAAATCCAAACATGGTAAATAAAACAGAAAAACAGACCTGTAATAAACTCTGTTATTGTTCAAATAAGCAGAATACAATTACATTTCTCTTATAAGGAACTACATTTAAAATATGTATTAAATTATTTCACACTTATTTTGTCTGTTGCTTTATATATAATTATTTACTTTTTTTATATTTCATTTATGGATGTAGTTTGTGTCATTTTTACACATTTTATTATATTATCATTATATTTGTTTCTTTATGTCTTATTCACTAAAAACATACATATTTACTAGTTTCTTTATTTAAACTGTGTTTATTGGTAACTCAGACACACAGATCTGTTCTGTTGAGATTTTAACAATGGTGGGAATCTGCTGTGAGTTATTGATCCTGTGTATGAATATTGTTTTGCTGTTATCACCCTGTTGACACATCTCTCTCACCTCCAGTTTATTTGATATCATTTTATTTATTTTACCTTTATTTTACCAGGAAAGAAATCCATTGAGATTTTTAATGTCCTGGAATAAATGATCTGTATGATCAATGACTGTAGGAGATTTACACTTCACAAGTTGGTTGTTTGGAATTACTAATAATAAATAATCAACAATTAATAACACACACTTTATTGTTGTTTTCTGAGTCTTACCACATTTTTATTCATTTTTATATCTCTCTGTTATGCATCTAAATAATAAAATAGTCCAACATGATCCAGGAGAATCAAAAGCACCACAACACCACCTGTGTCTGCAGAAGAAGAATCCATTTCCTGTACGTCTTTATTTAAACACAGAGAGCAAAGTAAAGTGGCGAATATTAAATTCTTGTGTAACTGAAGCTGACGATCCATCGACGTGTTCAGAAGAGAAAACTGCCGGGTGACGATCCAGCAGACACTAATGAGATTGATCAGCTTGAAGTGGTGGAAACATGAGATGCTGTTTTGGGGAACAGAAGCACTTTAACAGGCGTCGACTCTGCGGCTCAGACATCCATCAGACCATCACAGTCTGCAGCTCAGTCATGAAAGACAGCAGGTCCAGCAGACAGCGGGGTCAGGAGGTAGCAGGTCCAGCAGGCAGCAGGATCAGGAGGTAGCAGGTGCAGCAGGCAGCAGGATCAGGAGGTAGCAGGTGCAGCGGGATGTGTGATCCAGCAGATGAAGGCCGATGTGCTGAGGCAGCAGGAACACGGTGTCGTCACCACAGCTGGCTGGTCACAGTAATCAGGATAAATGTCCTGGTGGTGTTTCAGTGCTGCAGCGACAACTTTCCACCTGAACTGAAGAACCTCTGAACAGCAGCCTGAAACCTGAAACCAACAGCTGCTGCAGGAGCTGACAGGTTTTCAGCTCATTCAGTCACCTCCTCTGTATGCTTAAACAAGCATCTGTTTTTCTTTTATTAACTCTGAATCAGGTGACTGTAGTACACTTCCCCTCTGGTTCTGTCTTAGTGTTGCCATCAAACAAGCTCTGATAAACCAAGCAGCAACCTCCGGGGCCAGAGGGTACCTAAATATGCAGTTCTTTGAATGTCCACTTAAAGCTGGCTCCAAATTGAGTCACTCCTCACAGACCTCCATGTTAAAAACACAACTTTTACAGCAGAAATAACCCGCCTGATTCTCTATAGTGAACTTCCCCTTCATGACAACTGAATATGTAATTAACTGGCTTCACAGATGCTCTTCAGAAACCTACGAGCAACATCTTGGACACTATGTCCATGTTTATACAGGCTGTGTGATAAACCCACCGAACAGTACCTGCCCAGCAGAACACACCGGTGGATCTATGGAAAAATGCTAATGTTAGCCACCTGAAGCTGCAGCCAGCAACAGTGTAACTTTGGAAGAGAAGTCTAACTGTGACTGTGCTGCATCTTAAGATAAACTGTAGAATATAATTCCACTGCGGACTTTGTCCTCCCTCACTTAGGTTAAAATCCAAGGTTCCAGAGTGTACAGAAGGAATGACAAAATCAGTTTCTTTGTTGACATGCAAGCGTTGTATTGACATGTGTCCCGAAAGACTGAGGCTGTGTTTACAGAAGGAAACATGTTGTCTGCAGACCATCGTGAGAGAAACAGGATTACGTTGCTGCAGAAGTTCGTGACTCTGTCGCTGCATATTTGATGTCTATTCCCATAAAAACATTGAGCTGAACAGCTTTCTGTCCGTCTGTGTTTCTGTTTGCAGAAAGAAAAGCTGAATCTCACGTTGGAGCTGTCATGAATTACTTCTTCCCCATTGATGCCGTACACGCTAACAGCCCTTACTAATATCTATTGTAACTTTGGATAAAAGCATCTGCAGACTGAGGAGCACCTCGTCCCTCAGCTCAGAGTTGTTCCAGATCTCGCGACGTGAACCTGAATCAGTTTGCTTTGATAAGAAGCTTCATGAAGCATCAAGCAACAGAAAAATCTTTTATTTGATTCTAGCCACAAAACATTCCTGTTGAATGAGTGAAAGCTGATCTATCAAGTTTATCAAAGCCAAAGTTTACAGGTGAGATGACAGAGAGCCCTTCCATCAACTGAACTACAGTTTACTATGATTGTCGTTATGCACCAGAACATTTCACTACACCAGATGTACAAATTAACCACAGCTAGAAGCAATTTACAACATGCACTTCATGAAAGGTTGCATAGCTAGTCACTGTTGCCCTTTAAAACTGTGCTTTTTCAGTCCAGTCGGTGGATTCTGCCCTTCTGCAAAGCACTGAAGTCAGAAAAGCCCTGTTATGTGTCCTCTGAAGTGTCTCAGAAGAGCAGAACCGTCCAGAGGAGCTCTGTTGGTATAAAATTAGCCCCGTCTTGGTTTATCGTGCTCGTCCGCCTGCAAACATTTCTAATAAAGAGAAAGGTTTCATGCAGTAACTGCTTTCTCTCTGAAACGTCCGCTGTGAGTCCAGACCAGACTCTGTGTCAGGTTCCGCTGGAGAGGAAGACTCTCGGTCGGCGATAGAAAGGACAGGCACTGAGTCGAGGTGGGTCTGAGGTTCAGGTGGAGTCTGGAGTGTGAAGACCAGTCGGATCAGGAAATGGGGACAAAGTGAGACGTCTTCCCTCTGCAGGATCTCAGCAGTCTCATATTCGTACGTGGAAGTTACTGTAAAACAAATCACATAATGAGTTTCATCTGTTGAACACAGAGATTCTGCCTGTCCTGTGGGAGACTCTAACCCTGATCACAGCACCTCCACTCAGATCAGCTGGTTTTGCTGCCGTTCCCGGGCCTTTATTCAGCATTGAAAACACAGCAGTGAAAAGTCACTCCTGTCTCAGCCGCTACTTTCTCCACTCCCAGCACAACCAGCGGGCTTCGTTGCAGCTAGTCTGTGACCGGTGGTCCGGTGTGAGATACAGATTTATGGCCACGCCTTTTCTTCCCTCCTGCTAGGTTCGGGTGGAGGAGTGAAACTGCTCATTGATGAATCATCAGCAGAATAATTTTGTGGATTTTATCTCTGAGTGGACTGCAACTGTACGCCGAGTCCTGCCTAAAACACACGCAACTGACCTCAACTGAAAACACCACGATCTGTCTAACTGAACCACAATCTGTCTAATCTCTAGAGAGAGAAGGGTCTGTCTAATCTCTGGATGGAGACGGGTCTGTCTAATCTCTAGAGAGAGAAGGGTCTGTCTAATCTCTGGATGGAGACGGGTCTGTCTTATCTCTGGAGTGAGAGAGGTCTGTCTAATCTCTGGATGGAGACAGGTCTGTTTGATCTCTGGAGTGAGAGAGGTCTGTCTAATCTCTGAATGGAGACAGGTCTGTTTGATCTCTGGAGGGAGATGGGTCTGTCTTATCTCTAGAGAGAGATGGGTCTGTCTAATCTCTGGAGTGAGAGAGGTCTGTCTAATCTCTGGATGGAGACGGGTCGGTCTGATCTCTGGAGGAGACGGGTCTGTCTAATCTCTAGAGAGAGAAGGGTCTGTCTAATCTCTGGATGGAGACGGGTCTGTCTAATCTCTGGAGTGAGAGAGGTCTGTCTAATCTCTGAATGGAGACAGGTCTGTTTGATCTCTGGAGGGAGATGGGTCTGTCTTATCTCTAGAGAGAGATGGGTCTGTCTAATCTCTGGAGTGAGAGAGGTCTGTCTAATCTCTGGATGGAGACGGGTCGGTCTGATCTCTGGAGGAGACGGGTCTGTCTAATCTCTAGAGAGAGAAGGGTCTGTCTAATCTCTGGATGGAGACGGGTCTGTCTAATCTCTGGAGTGAGAGAGGTCTCTATAATCTCTGAATGGAGACAGGTCTGTCTGATCTCTGGAGGGAGACGGGTTTGTCTAATCTCTGGATGGAGACGGGTCTGTCTAATCTCTGGATGGAGACAGTGATTTTGGTATTTTTGTCCAAGTTTAATTAAGCTCTACACTGCTGCACACGAGAGGATTTACAGATTTTCACTGATGTTAAAAACCTTTGATGTTAAAGATGTAACAACAGAATGAACTGATCTTTGATATTTTTTTATAGAGATTTTAATATTTTAATCATAAGAATACCCACAGCAGAAACTTCGGTCCAGATGAAGGACCACATGTTGCAGAGTGGCGGTTTGTGGGATCTCACGGAATCTCGAATGAGCAAACGTGACTTTGGCGAGAAACAAACATGAACGCAGACTATCGTCATCAGCTGACATCACATGTTTTGTTCTCCAACCCTCAGTTCATCATTTGGCGCCGCCTGTAGTTACAGGTGGTAACTTCAGGTGTGCAGTATGTAATAATCCAGATGTTTGACCACTCTGACATAAAAACACTGATGTGGCTGAGGGATAATCAGAAACGGCACCGTACCTCAGGAAGTCAGGAGCCTTTGAGATCATGTTCTCAAAGTCGGCGAAGGACAGCTTGTGGTCTCCGTCCAGGTCGGCCTCCTCGATGGCTTTATCGCACACCAGGATGACCTCCTCTGGGGTCAGCTCGCCTTTGGTCAGCTTGTTCAGAGTCTTCTTCAGGTCCTCCTTACAGATAAAGTTGTCCCTGTTGAAGTCTGAACCACAACCAGAAGATTACACATTTCATTACATCCGAGAAGAAGAAGAACAACAAACACAGCTGGTGTAAAACCACTCAGCTCTGCGTGGACCATGATCCTGGACCCTGCGGGTAAACCATATCCCCATGCTGGACCATGATATTGAAGACTGCTGAATACTACCCTGCTTCTCTGTCTCAAACCGCGGTAGCTTTCCTGCTTAAAGGATGTTCACCTTCCCAGGTAAACTTTAGCACCTTTTAGCAGCAGCTCTGAGGTTTCTCACCTGAGGAGGACTCTCTCAAACATCTCACCGTAAATCTTGAAGGCGTAGATGATCTTGAGCTCTCTGGGTGAAGTTTCACAGAGGGCAGAAAACATGTCGACAAAGTCGTTGAAGCTCTGGTTCCCCTGTCCGTCCTCAGAGAACGTCTCCACAATTCTGTCTCTGAACGGGTTCTCCTGTCAGGACATTCAGACAGATGAAGTGACTCACTGCTAACCGCTAACTCTAACTGTCACCTCTACCTGTCAAATCTCTACCTGTCACCTCTACCTGTCACCTCCACCTGTCACCTCTCCACCTGTCACCTCTACCTGTCACCTCTACCTGTCACCTCCACCTGTCACCTCTACCTGTCACCTCTACCTGTCACTTCTACCTGTCAGCTCTCCACCTGTCACCTCTACCTGTCACCTCTACCTGTCACCTCCACCTGTCACCTCTACCTGTCACCTCTCCACCTGTCACCTCTACCTGTCACCTCTACCTGTCACCTCCACCTGTCACCTCTACCTGTCACTTCTACCTGTCAGCTCTCCACCTGTCACCTCTACCTGTCACCTCTACCTGTCACCTCCACCTGTCAGCTCTACCTGTCACTTCTACCTGTCACCTCTACCTGTCACCTCTACCTGTCACCTCCACCTGTCACCTCTACCTGTCACTTCTACCTGTCAGCTCTCCACCTGTCACCTCTACCTGTCACCTCTACCTGTCACCTCCACCTGTCAGCTCTACCTGTCACCTCCACCTGTCAGCTCTCCACCTGTCAGCTCTACCTGTCACCTCTCCACCTGTCACCTCTACCTGTCAGCTCTACCTGTCACCTCTACCTGTCACCTCTACCTGTCACCTCTCCACCTGTCACCTCTACCTGTCAGCTCTACCTGTCACCTCTACCTGTCACCTCTACCTGTCACCTCTACCTGTCAGCTCTCCACCTATCACCTCTACCTGTCACCTCTACCTGTCACCTCCACCTGTCAGCTCTCCACCTGTCACCTTTACCTGTCACCTCTACCTGTCAGCTTTACTTGTCAGCTCTACCTGTCACCTCTACCTGTCAGCTTTACTTGTCAGCTCTACCTGTCAGCTTTACTTGTCAGCTCTACCTGTCACCTCTACCTGTCACCTCTACCTGTCAGCTCTACCTGTTACCTCTACCTGTCACCTCTACCTGTCACATCTACCTGTCAGCTTTACTTGTCACCTCTTCCTGTCAGCTCTACCTGTCAGCTCTCCACCTGTCACCTCTACCTGTCAGCTTTACTTGTCACCTCTACCTGTCAGCTCTCTAACTTCAGCTCTCCACCTGTCACCTCTACTTGTCAGCTCTACCTGTCACCTCTACCTGTCACCTCTACTTGTCAGCTCTACCTGTCAGCTCTCTAACTTCAGCTCTCCACCTGTCACCTCTACCTGTCAGCTCTACCTGTCAGCTTTACTTGTCAGCTCTACCTGTCACCTCTACCTGTCAGCTCCACCTGTCACCTCTAACTGTCAGCTCTCCACCTGTCACCTCTACCTGTCAGCTCTACCTGTCAGCTCTCTACCTGTCACCTCTACCGGTCACCTCTACCTGTCAGCTTTACTTGTCAGCTCTACCTGTCACCTCTACCTGTCAGCTCTACCTGTCAGCTCTACCTGTCAGCTCTACCTGTCGCCTCTCTACCTGTCAGCTCTACTTGTCAGCTCTACCTGTCACCTCTACCTGTCAGCTTTACTTGTCAGCTCTACCTGTCACCTCTACCTGTCACCTCTACCTGTCAGCTTTCCACCTGTCAGCTCTCCCTGTCAGCTCTACCTGTCAGCTCTACCTGTCAGCTCTCTACCTGTCACCTCTACCGGTCACCTCTACCTGTCAGCTTTACTTGTCAGCTCTACCTGTCACCTCTACCTGTCAGCTCTCTACCTCTCACTTCTACCGGTCACCTCTACCTGTCAGCTTTACTTGTCAGCTCTCTAAATTCAACTCTCTACCTGTCAGCTCTACCTGTCACCTCTACCTGTCAGCTCTACCTGTAACCTCTACCTGTCAGCTTTACCTGTCAGCTCTACCTGTCAGCTCTCTAACTTCAGCTCTCTACCTGTCACCTCTACCTGTCACCTCTACCTGTCACCTCTACCTGTCAGCTTTACCTGTCAGCTCTACCTGTCACCTCTACCTGTCCCCTCTACCTGTCACCTCTACCTGTCACCTCTACCTGTCAGCTCTACCTGTCAGCTTTACCTGTCAGCTCTACCTGTCAGCTCTACCTGTCCCCCTACCTGTCACCTCTACCTGTCCCCTCTACCTGTCACCTCTACCTGTCAGCTTTACTTGTCAGCTCTGTAACTTCAGCTCTCTATATGTCAGCTTTACTTGTCAGCTCTAACTGTCAGCTTTACCTGTCACCTCTACCTCTCAGCTTTACTTGTCAGCTCTACCTGTCAGCTTTACTTGTCAGCTCTACCTGTCAGCTTTACTTGTCAGCTCTAACTGTCAGCTTTACCTGTCACCTCTACCTGTCACCTCTACCTGTCAGCTTTACTTGTCAGCTCTACCTTTCACCTCTCTACCTGTCACCTCTACCTGTCAGCTTTACTTGTCAGCTCTACCTTTCACCTCTCTACCTGTCACCTCTACCTGTCAGCTTTACTTGTCAGCTCTACCTGTCACCTCTACCTGTCAGCTCTCTAACTTCAGCTCTCTATCTGTCACCTCTACCTGTCAGCTCTCTAACTTCAGCTCTCTATCTGTCAGCTCTACCTGTCAGCTCTCTAACTTCAGCTCTCTACCTGTCAGCTTTACTTGTCAGCTCTACCTGTTACCTCTACCTGTCAGCTTTACTTGTCAGCTCTACCTGTCAGCTCTCTAACTTCAGCTCTCTACCTGTCAGCTCTGTAACTTCAGCTCTCTACCTGTCAGCTCTCTAACTTCAGCTCTCTACCTGTCAGCTCTACCTGTCAGCTCTCTAACTTCTGCTCTCTATCTGTCACCTCTACCTGTCAGCTCTACCTGTCACCTCTACCTGTCAGCTTTACTTGTCAGCTCTCTAACTTCAGCTCTCCACCTGTCACCTCTACCTGTCAGCTTTACTTGTCAGCTCTACCTGTCACCTCTACCTGTCACCTCTACCTGTCAGCTCTACCTGTCAGCTTTACTTGTCAGCTCTACCTGTCACCTCTACCTGTCACCTCTACCTGTCAGCTCTACCTGTCAGCTCTCTACGTGTCACCTATACCTGTCACCTCTACCTGTCAGCTTTACTTGTCAGCTCTACCTGTCACCTCTACCTGTCAGCTCTACCTGTCAGCTCTCTACCTGTCACCTCTACCTGTCAGCTCTACCTGTCACCTCTACCTGTCAGCTTTACTTGTCAGCTCTACCTGTCACCTCTACCTGTCAGCTCTACCTGTCAGCTCTCTACCTGTCACCTCTACCTGTCAGCTTTACTTGTCAGCTCTACCTGTCAGCTTTACTTGTCAGCTCTACCTGTCACCTCTACCTGTCAGCTCTCCACCTGTCACCTCTACCTGTCAGCTTTACTTGTCAGCTCTACCTGTCACCTCTACCTGTCAGCTCTCCACCTGTCACCTCTACCTGTCAGCTCTACCTGTCACCTCTACCTGTCAGCTCTCCACCTGTCACCTCTACCTGTCAGCTCTACCTGTCAGCTCTCTACCTGTCACCTCTACCGGTCACCTCTACCTGTCAGCTTTACTTGTCAGCTCTACCTGTCACCTCTACCTGTCAGCTCTACCTGTCAGCTCTACCTGTCAGCTCTACTTGTCAGCTCTACCTGTCACCTCTACCTGTCAGCTTTACTTGTCAGCTCTACCTGTCACCTCTACCTGTCACCTCTACCTGTCAGCTTTCCACCTGTCAGCTTTCCACCTGTCAGCTCTCCCTGTCACCTCTACCTGTCAGCTCTACCTGTCAGCTCTACCTGTCACCTCTACCTGTCAGCTCTCCACCTGTCACCTCTACCTGTCAGCTCTACCTGTCAGCTCTCTACCTGTCACCTCTACCGGTCACCTCTACCTGTCAGCTTTACTTGTCAGCTCTACCTGTCACCTCTACCTGTCAGCTCTACCTGTCAGCTCTACCTGTCAGCTCTACCTGTCGCCTCTCTACCTGTCAGCTCTACTTGTCAGCTCTACCTGTCACCTCTACCTGTCAGCTTTACTTGTCAGCTCTACCTGTCACCTCTACCTGTCACCTCTACCTGTCAGCTTTCCACCTGTCAGCTCTCCCTGTCAGCTCTACCTGTCAGCTCTACCTGTCAGCTCTCTACCTGTCACCTCTACCGGTCATCTCTACCTGTCAGCTTTACTTGTCAGCTCTACCTGTCAGCTTTACTTGTCAGCTCTCTAAATTCAACTCTCTACCTGTCAGCTCTACCTGTCACCTCTACCTGTCAGCTCTACCTGTAACCTCTACCTGTCAGCTTTACCTGTCAGCTCTACCTGTCACCTCTACCTGTCAGCTTTACCTGTCAGCTGTACCTGTCACCTCTACCTGTCACCTCTACCTGTCACCTCTACCTGTCCCCTCTACCTGTCACCTCTACCTGTCAGCTTTACCTGTCAGCTCTACCTGTCAGCTCTACCTGTCCCCCTACCTGTCACCTCTACCTGTCCCCTCTACCTGTCACCTCTACCTGTCAGCTTTACTTGTCAGCTCTGTAACTTCAGCTCTCTATATGTCAGCTTTACTTGTCAGCTCTAACTGTCAGCTTTACCTGTCACCTCTACCTGTCAGCTTTACTTGTCAGCTCTACCTGTCAGCTTTACTTGTCAGCTCTACCTGTCAGCTTTACTTGTCAGCTCTAACTGTCAGCTTTACCTGTCACCTCTACCTGTCACCTCTACCTGTCAGCTTTACTTGTCAGCTCTACCTTTCACCTCTCTACCTGTCACCTCTACCTGTCAGCTTTACTTGTCAGCTCTACCTTTCACCTCTCTACCTGTCACCTCTACCTGTCAGCTTTACTTGTCAGCTCTACCTGTCACCTCTACCTGTCAGCTCTCTAACTTCAGCTCTCTATCTGTCACCTCTACCTGTCAGCTCTCTAACTTCAGCTCTCTATCTGTCAGCTCTACCTGTCAGCTCTCTAACTTCAGCTCTCTACCTGTCAGCTTTACTTGTCAGCTCTACCTGTCAGCTCTACCTGTTACCTCTACCTGTCAGCTTTAC